CTGTGTGTGATAGAGTCAGAGCTGGTGTACCTGTGTGTGATAGAGTCAGAGCTGGTGTATCTGTGTGTGATAGAGTCAGAGCTGGTGTATCTGTGTGTGATAAGACCACCTCGCACTCCAGCGAGGTTTCCAGTCTGTGGCCCTCCACTTCTCCAGGGCCCACGAAAGGAGACAAACCAATGCTCCCTTCAGCCTGACCTTTTGGACTTTCTGGAAACACTTAAAAGCAGTCACAAAGACCCGGTTGGAAAGATATCCTAAGGTCCCAACCTTGGTTGGTTACAGGTGGCCAATGAGGCAATGGATGGGCCCAAGTTCCTTGAGCAAGTCAGAGCAGAACCAGGAAAGGCAGCCAGAATTTCAGATTTTTCTAGCTCTAAGAATTGCATGCCCCAACAGTTCGTGTCGTGAGGAACGAGGGATTTCCTTGGACAGTTGGGTTCCTATACCACTCCATTCCAGCATAAATGACCCTGCCGGTCCTTATTACAGGAAGAACCACAATAGTACGTATAGGTGGTGTCTTTGATTGGCAGCATTCCCGGAGATAACTTAAAACTGTTGTCCCCGAGAACCGGACATCTGATTCCAGCAGAATTGTCTTCCAGTTGGTTTATAGAGGGAGGCTGAGAGCGGAGGAGCAAGGAGTCCCACAGATCTTGATTCGACGCTGTGATCAGGAAAGGGTCATGTCACCTTCGTAGACGAAAACAGAAATAGCACAGCCAGTGGCGGCCTGAGGAGTCCGCCCAGTCCGCCGGTCTTCGGTTCTGATCTCGGGTGCCCTGTGGCGAGCGCGCCCAGGAGCCGCTGGCGTCCCAGGGGCTGCAGAGCCCTCGCGCAGGCTCAGAACCAGCGAAGCGCGTACACCATGTTTCTTTGGGGGGAAATTGGACATTTCAGAAAACATTGAGTAAGTCAGCCCAGGAAATCTGAACTTGGGGAAGGTGGTCCTTCCTTCTTGATCTTACTAATTAGGATTTCTGTATTATTTATTTATTAGTTATTTGGCAGTTGAATAATGTGCGGACCAGGAAATTCTGCTTTCACAGTCAGTGTCTCTTCAAAGGTATCAGGCCTAGGTTTCAAATGCTTGCTCGTCTCGCCCAGGTGACTCCATGTCATTGCGATTTGGGACCTGAAGTGACCAACCAGCTTTGGCGAACCATTCCTTACTAGGTCAGTGAGGAGGGAGGCAGAGGCGAGCGGGAGCTGGTGTGGCAGTGCACATCTGTAATCCCAGCTATGGGGAGGCGGCGGCAGGAAGATCCAGAGCTGGAGGTTATCCTAGACTGCATAGCGAATTCGAGGCCAGGGTGGGATGCGTGAGACCAGTCTCAAAAAATACAATAAGTCAGAAACTGCAACTGAAACCCATGGATAGGGCACACTGCAAAGAGAAAAGCTCTGTCTAGACCCCTCTTCTTACTTCCTCCTGGAGAACTATGGTTCCATTGACTCAAGCAAAAGATGAAACGTGGGATGATTGTGTTGGGGCTGTTGTGAATGTGGAATTTAAAAGTAGAGAAAGAAAAATATGGAACGCTTCACGAATTTGCGTGTCATCCTTGCGCAGGGGCCATGCTAATCTTCTCTGTATCGTTCCAATTTTAGTATATGTGCTGCCGAAGCGAGCACGATCGTGATTCTGTCTCAGAAGGTATATAAGGGCAAACCCGTCAAAACTTTATCAGTTATGGTGAGGTTCTTATGACATGTTTTTTCAAATCCAATCGCTCTATAAATCCGTAACTTGTGAATTCCATATTGTGCATTCTTCATTTTTAGTTTAGATTCAGAGTTAAATTCAGTTATGTCCGCAGCTTCGTTTCAACATTGTATATGCAAATGAGGGGACGATGGGAAACAGACCTGTTCCGGGCCGATCTGTGCGCGGCCCCGTAGTCACAGTCCGCCACGTGATGCGCGCTGTGCACGCGCCTGGCCGCGCTGGACTCGCGCTGGGCTCGCGCTGTGCACGCGCCTGGCCGCGCCGGGCTCGCGCTGGGCTCCTCCGGCTGCGACGCGGGGCGCCAGTGTGTCCTAGGGACAAGGGGTCCCTAGCCGAGGGGTCCCCCGAGCCCCACTTGGAAGGGCGGGGCAAAGGTTGCGAGCGGCTCATCAAGCCACGCTCGACTCTGAGACTCGCCGCCAATGATGCGGCTGCCCAGGGTGGCCTGCTCCGGGTGCAGAGGGTGATGAGCCGCCCCTGCCTCAGTTTCCCCCGGGCTTGTCGAAAACAGCGCGCCACCATTGGAGCCGAGGAGAAAAGAGGGGTGTCCACTTTGGAGCCCAGACTTTCCGAGTGTGGCCCGCGGCTGGGGGTAGTTGTGGGAGAGGGGCACGCTCGCGCTCCTGCGTTTACTAAGGGCCGGGCACTTTAATGGGGGTGGTGCCCCCCCTCCCCCGCTTTGCAAGTTAGGAAATTGAGGCTCTGGCAGGTTAAACCAAGTGGTCCTGCGCGCCGTGAAAGAAGTCGAGATTTGGATGCAAGCCGAGTTCAGAGGCCGCTCTTTTCTCGTGCACAGTAGGACTCTGAAGAAAGAGCAGCCCCCCCCCTCGTTCCGGGTTAGATTGTACCCCCAAACTTAGCCTGCTCTTCCTCCCTTCCTTCTTTGCTCTGACAGACCCGGAGCGCCGACATGTCGCCACCCGCTCTTTAAGGTGAGAGAGTGAGCAGGAAGCTCCGGTGCCAGACGTGTGTAAAGAGACTAGGTCGGGGTGTGTAAGTCACTGGGGTGGGCGGCCACAAAAGGAGGCGACCTTGGAACAATGACCTGATACCCGGGCGGCCCTGAGAGGACGGGGACAGAGACTCCCAGGCAAAAGCAAACGGAGTCAGCCAGGGCCACAAGGGAGCCACCAGCGAGGTACTAGGGGCTCGCACACGGTGCTCGGCCTGGGTGCGGTGGGACAGGACCCCAGCCTAGGCAGAGAAGCCCCAGGCCGGGCTTTTGGAGCTGAGTCCTCCCCCTCCCTACCTGTTTTCAATGAGATGGAAATCAGGCGCACGCTGCCCGGCTCCTCACGTGACCTCTCTCTAAATAAGCAGTAAGCAACTGCAAAACTCAGAATGCTAATAACGGCCTTCACTGAGTGAGAAGAGCTAATTTGGGCAATGATGTTTCCCTCGGATTTACAAAAGGGAATTGCAAATAACCAAACAGTAATAGCATTGATGGGAGATGATGCTAAACTTCTATCAGCATCCGCGTTTGTTCTTCACGTGTTTAGAAGGGGAGCCTTTTCGACACAGTGGCTGCGCACACGTGTCACGGTGACAGGTACATAACTGCCTTATCGCGCAAGCCAGCAGGAGACAGACCTGGTTCTTGTTCACCGTTCCTGGCTATTTTAAGCCGGAGGTGGTCTGTTAGGCTTGTTGTCTGTTTGCTTTTTCTGGTCCAGAAGCCGAGCAATCTATTTGGATTCTAGGTCCACTCTTTCTGGCTCGAGTCCTGTTTTAGCTTGAACGAAGACTGTTAACTGCTAATGTCTTGCTCAGCCTTGGTGGCTCTTGTGTAACTGAAGGGCTTTCCTGAGAGAATAGAATTAGCAAGATGTAAAAATTCCAAGATGGCTCAGTGGGTAATCAGGCTGATGACCTGAGTTTGATCCCTGAGACCTACATGATGGAAAGAGAGAACTGACTGACGCTCACATGGTGGCCTCTGACCTCAAGCTGTCCTCTGACTTTCACACACATGTGCGATGGCACACACCCAGCCACACACATACACAAAATAAAACGTAATAAAATTCTAAATTCCAACATGATTTTTGTATCCTACTTTACAAGGCTACAAACATTCTAGTCATCGGTGAGGTGTGGCGGCCTCAGAAGGATCTGCAGGAGCTATTGTAGACCTAGTTCTCAGGCTGCTGAGGAGAACAGTGCTCCCCTCAGGCGGGAAGGCCCAACACGAAAGAAGGTAGAGGATACTACTATGCTTTGGACCTAAAGCTTCAGTCAGAGGTGGAATCAAACGGAAGGTAATTCAGTCAGAGGCACCACCGCTCCTGAAGAGATGAGTGTTTTCCTTCTGGAACTGAATTATTGCTGTCCTGGGACTGGTGAAGGGCTGGGTTATTTACCTTGGGAGAAGGTGGTTCTACCAGCCTGGCGTCCTTGGCTTCCTCTCACCGTGTAACTCTTATTGCAGACCAGGGAGGTCTGCTAAAGGATGCTGTCCTCTGTGTGGAGATGTACCCAAATACCTTCAGCAAAGACCAAGCAGATGGGACTACCCAGTCATAGACTTTAATGCTCCAAAACTGTAAGCTGTATAAACCTCTTTCTGTAGATGCTCAGCCTTATAGCATCAGGAAACAGACTAAGATAGTGGGTGAATGGAGGGAAAGAATGGATATGGTATGAGGCTGGAGGAGGGAGCTCATGAAAGAACCCCTTAAAGGGAGAACCAAGTGGATCGTGACTTCACAGGAAGTCCCACCCCCCAGGACACAGGCACTAACGCAGAGGAGTGTGGGTGCTATGGAGGACAGGCTCTGGCCAGCCATCTCAGAGCTCCAGTAACCTTCTGGGTCATTGACTTCTCTCCACTCTGCAGACCCGGGGTGACCTGAATGTGGATAGTCTTCCCTGAGTGCCGTGGGCTGCAGAACCCCAAGAGACAAGATATGGTGACTTGATTCTGTTGGGGGTGGGGCTTCCCACCACCTGAGAGAGAGAATGTAGACCAGGTTTGATTTTTGTTTTGTTTTGTTTTGAGACAGCGTTTCACTGTGTTATAGCTTTGGCTGTCCTGAAACTCGCTCTGTAGCCCAGGCTGGCCTCCAACTCCCAAAGACCCTCCTACCTCTGCCTCCTTAGTGCTGGGATTAGAGTGGTGCACCACCACACGTAGCATTATTATTAAATTTGAATTATTTAGTGTATAAAGATCATCCTCAGGTACACAAGACCCCGTCTCAAAAGTCAGGGGAAAAAAAATGGTGTGTGGTGGGACACTGATGAGGTTGCTCAGCAGCTAATGTGCGTGTCACGTAAGACTGTCAGCCTGTGTTTAAGCTCTGGAAACCACATGGCCGAAAAGAGAAATGACCCACAGAATTGCCCTCTGACTGCCATCCGTGTGCTCTGGAGTATGCCCAAGGCCCCATCCTATGCACACAGTGACGAGGGGGAGGAGGGGCTGAGTCTGGGGGCACCTGCTAGCCTCTCCACTTGTCAGCATGTCGGTTTCATTTGCAGGGCATGAAAGGGGGTGCTCCTCCAGATGATGGCACCATGGACTCTGCTGTCACTCACCCCCTAGGCCAAGCTGACGGACAGTGACTATGGTTTATGGTGTGTGTGGGGGGGGGCAGGGACTACCTCATATAAGTCCCAGCAGCCCCTCTGCTGACCCGGGATACCCTGAAGCAAGCCTACCAGGCTTCTGTCTTCTCTTCTAGGATGGAAGATATAATTCTTGCCCTTGCTGAAGGAGGACAACCTCATCAGTGTCCCACCACACCCCGACCAGGGTTGGGGTGGGGGGCAGATGAGAAAGGGCATTGGAAACCCCCAGCCCTCTCCCAGGGAACCACTCCCCTTACCTGGCCAGGAGGCACTGGTCCCATCCCCCACCAGGAAAGACTCGGAAAAACCAGAAAATGAGAGCGCCAAGATGAACCATCACATTGTGTTAATATTTTCACACCACTTAACTCTCATTAAAATGTACTTTGCTGAATTTAATATGTGATTTCAAATGACACAACATATTAAGTGCTTAATATACTAGAAATTATGAAACTATTATAGTCGATGCCATATGAAATAATTAGAGTGAATTAAACTTTAGCAGCCGAGTGAAGGCAGGGCTTCAACTTATAATGTCTGCAAGTCGCTCAAGCCACAGCTGTAATCCCGCAAATAAATGTCCAGAAATGAGGCTCTTTAAATAAAAACCGAATCTCATGTGTACTTACACCACAAGGTCTTCTGGGCTCTAGTGACATGGGACCTGGCTGCTCTGGGCAGGAGGGTGGGGGCCCTGGGACTCACTCCCAGTAAAGACCCCTGGGGCTTTACCTGGCTTTGCCCAGTGTCACAACTCAAGTGGCGAGTGATGTCAAGAGGCATGGCTTTCTTATGTCAGAACAGCGAGCTGCTGAGCTGAAAATAGAAACACGCCTACTCACCTCGCAGGGCTGTGCTTCGTGCCAGCTGTTTTCTGTGCAGCTGATCCCTCAGCCTCAATGACAAGCCGCCATTTTCTGCTGAAGAAACTCGGAAAGAGAACTCATCAAGGACTTCGGTCAGATCCACTGTGCTGATCCATACTAGGGTATGAGCACATGCTCTTGTGTGTTTGTGCACCCCTATCTAGAGTGTGTGTGTGTGTGTGTGTGTGTGTGTGTGTGTGTGTGTGTGTGTGTTAGTGATATGCTCGTGTATGTGAAAGCCAAAGAAGGATGTCCTCAATTGCTCTCCACCTCATTGTAAAAGCGATTTTTATTTATAGGTATGAATGTGTGTCTGTGTGGGTATGTGCACATTTGTGCAGATGCTCTCAGAAGCAAGCAGAGAGCCTTGAACCCCTGGAGCTGGAGTTACTGTGAGTTACCCAACCTGGGTGCTGGGAACTGAACTCTGTCCTCTGCGCAAGAACAGGACTTGCTCTTAACGGCTGAGCCATCTCTTGGGTCCCTCCGCTTTATTTATCTGAGGCAGGGTCCCCCTGCCTGCATCTCCTCCACAGTGGGACTCCAGGCACCCTCGGCCTTCCCTGAGTTTTCCCATGGCTGCTGGAGGTGGACCAGCAAGCTCTCTATCCACTCTGCTGCCTCCGGTCCCTGAGCATCCCTGATTTCAATCCTGTGGCCAATGACCATGGTGTCAGGACCTTTCCTGTCTTGGAGAATGTCCCTGCTTCAACCTTTCTATTTTATTACATTTACTTATTTATTCACTTATTTATTTGTGTGCACATGTAGCGGTCAGAGGTCATCTGGCCAGAGTCGGTTCTTTCCTTCCACCATGTGGGCTCCGCGGCAAGTGCCTTTATCCACAGAGCCATCTTGCTAGCCCTGCCTCAACATCTTATTCACATAGCTTATTATTATCATCGTACACATCTTCCCTGGATAAATGTGTTAATCTCTGAAGAATCCTTGTGGATGTGTCTAGAACAACAGAACAGATATATGGATAAACAACATTATAAAAGCAAGAGGTAATCATGAAAGCTAAGAAAATAGGAGGGGTCTGGGTATGTGGCTCAGTTGGTAGAATGCTTGCCTAGTGTGCACCCCCTCACCTCCCACCCCCACACATATGCATTCTGGCATGTTCAACTTTGTGAAAAGACCGTTAGCAGAGCCAGGTATGGTGGTACATACTTGTAATGCCGGCACCTGGGAGGGTGAAGTTGGAGGTTCTCTGAGCATCACAGTGAGATCCTCGCTCAGATTAAAAAGAAAAAACAGGGACTTGGGATCTAGCTCTGCTGGTAGAGAGCTTTGCTAGCATGCATGAAACCCTGGGTGCCATCCAAGCCCCGGGTGAGATGGTGCACACCTGTAATCCCAGCACTGCCGAGGTGGAGGCAGCAGGGAGGTGGTGGCACACGCCTGGTGACCTGGCCAGGCAGAGGCGGTGCATGCCTTTAATCCCAGCGCTCGGGAGGCAGAGGCAGGCAAATCTCTGAGTTTGAGGCCAGGCTGGTCTACGAAGTGAGTTCTTAGACAGCCAGGGTTATGCAGAGAAATCCTGTCTTGAAGCCCCCTACCCCTCCCCCCAAAAGAAAAAGTTGACGAAGTTCAGGGTCATCTTGGGATACATAGTGAGTTTGGGACCATCATGGAATGCATATATGAGACACTTTCTAAAAACAAAAAACAAACAAAAAAAAAAAAACCTAGATTCACCATAAATCAAACATCAAAAAATAAAACCAAGCCCCCCAAATTCCCAATGCCCCAAAGCAAGGGCAATGACAATCTTCCATAGTTCTGCTTTCCAGTGATAAGAGTTTGGTATGATGACCACATATCGATCTTAGCATGTATTATGATTACCAATCAAGATCCTGTGATGACAGATTGCTTTGAACAATTCCTGGCATGAAGAAGCAGCCTCCTTCCCTGGCTTCTTCTGCGCATGCTCCTCCTGCAGCCATCTGGTTAAGGCAGCTTTGTGTCCAAGATCAGCTGATGTTCTCACCCCTGAAGAGCAAACTGGTTGTGGGAGATAGTAGGGTACAACCTCTTTCTTTGTTCAGATATGTTATTTTCATTTATTATTATAACAATCATTATTATTATTATTATATGTATGTGTGTGCATGCATGATGATGTGTGGACCATGTCACAACACCAGGTCAGAAGACGACAGTCAATTCTCTGTTCTATCCTTCCATGGGTCCCAGGGACCAAACCCAGGTTGCCAAGCTTAAGATGCAGTGAGTACCATTATCGGCTGAGCCATCTTGCTGGCCCTTACTTAAGATATTTTAATTGATGTATACTAAGTGTACTTATTCAGGATCACAACTTTTCACCACATAGTGGGTGAATCCAACTGGAGGTAGAAATGTTTGGGAATCTACAACAATCAGTCCTGGAGATTTGCCCCTCCCGTGTTAACAGAAGACAGCTCTGCTTTTATTTGTCGGTTTCCATATTCTTTTCTTCATTTGTGCATGGGCCTGTGTGGTCCGTATGTGTGCTGTACAAGTCTTTGTTAGTGTAAAGATGTGCATGTGTGTGGAGACCAGAAATTGACATAAGTGTTTTCCCCCATTGCTCTCCACCTCTTTCTTCCTTCATTGCCTTTCTTTCTTCCTCCATTTTTCTTTCTTTCCTTCTTTTTTTCTCTCTCTCCCTTCCTTCTACTCTCTTCTTCTTACTTCCTTATCTCTCTCTCTCTCTCTCTCTCTCTCTCTCTCTCTCTCTCTCTCTCTATTTGAGACAGGGTTTCTCTGTGTAGCTTTGAAGCCTTTCCTGGAACTCACTCTGTAGCCCAGGCTGGCCTCAAACTCACAGAGATCCACCTGCTTCTGTCTTCCTAGCACTGCGATTAAGGGCGTGCGCCGCCAGCACCTCCTGGTTTCATTTTCAGGTTTTTATGTGGGTTCTGGAAATCCGAACTCAGGCCCTCATTCTTGCATGACAGTAACTTTCCTAACTGAACCATCCCCCAGCCCCATTAGACATATTTTTGACCCATGTGGGCGGCTATTCTTTCATCCTTGTTTGAATTGTCTGTCACCGTGCATGGTGTCATGGCAGTCATGAGCTGATCTTTTGGGCAGTAGGACACCAATATGTAAATGCAGTAAGGCTAGAACTGTGTTCCATGTTCATGGAGAAAAGACCGGAAAAGACATATAAGTCTGTTTGATATTTTTTATTGTATTTCTGCCAAATCAAAACACTATGGGATGGTAGTACTATGTACCCCTAGGCTCAGGACTGTCTTACAATATAACGCGCACCCAACTTTAGAAGTCCTGAGGGTCAGTGATGGAGAGACGCCTCAGCGGTTGAGAATCCTTCTTGCAGGGCTGGAGAGATAGCTCAGAGCACTGGCTGCTCTTCCAAAGGTTCGGAGTTCAATTCCCAGCAACCACATGGTGGCTCACAACCATCTGTAAAGAGATCTGGTTCCCTCTTCTGGCCTGCAGGGATATGTGCAAACAAACACTGTATACATAATAAATAAATAAATCTAAAAAAAAAAAAAATCCTTCCTGCTTTTGCAGAGGCCTCCGTGGCTGCTCACAGCCATCCAGAACTTCAGTGCCAGGAGAACCAACACCCTCTTCCTCCTGGCTTCCAAGGACAAGGCATGCATGTGGCTCACATACATGCAAAGAAGCACTCATACACATAAAACAAACATTGAAATCTATACATTGTAATACTCTAAGAGTCCAGACCTAGGGCTGGTGAGACAGGCCAGTGAATAGAGCATTTGCTGCTCAGCCTTGAGAACCTGAGATTGTCCCTGGCAACCCAGTGGCCAGGAGATTCTGCCCTGAAAACAAGATGGAGAAGGAGAAGTCCCCCAGATCCTCTGACCTCCACACACATGCATGCACATGCATATGAGTACACACACACACACACACACACACACACACACACACACACACACACTGAATAAACAACTTTTTTAAGTCTCTTACAAAGTTCAAAGCAAGTTGCATACCTGTTGTGGGAAATTCACTATTCAGCCCAATTACCAATTGGATGGAATGTTTTGGACTTTGTGGCATGGTTTTCTCAGATATATGTGACCCCTTAAAAATTGTGGGGCAAGGGTTGCATGCTCCCTTGGGTGGTCGGAGCAGGAGCAAGCTGCGGAGAAACATGGCTTGCAGTCTGGTTCCCATAGCCCTTGGGCAGAATGGCAGGACAACGGCAGGTGGATCAGCAGCGAGCGGCCTTCTGTATCGTGAGTGTACCTTATAGATTTCATTCCTTAATAAATCTTACCTGGCCGCATACCTCAGTGTCCCATTTTACATACCTCCAACATATAATGGCACAGAGTGGACATTCTTTTTCCTAAAGGGAAGAAGCAGCGTATTGAAGGCATGATGGGACCAGAGCAAGACCCAAATCCAGCCAGATAGACACTGGATCCTGCAGCTCCGTGTCTGGCATCAGACTTGAAGAGATAGCTGTTACAGGGTGTGTCTCATAGGCAGAATCTAGGTTTTTGAAAGTGAATGTGTCTGTCATAAAAGCAGATAGAGGCTATTGGGAGGAGGCAGGAGGCCAGCATGAGGGGGTTGAGGGACGATAAAGTTTAACTATTGGGGTGAATATGAGCAAAATACAAAGATAAACATGCAGGAAAATGTCAGAATGAAACCCATTATTTCATACGCTAATGAAGAACAGTCAACAATAAAATCAAGTCTGGACAAGGGGCACTGTCTAGGATGGCACGC